CCCCAAAACCCCAAAACCCCAAAACCCCTTTTATAATTCAAAATATTGAATTGAAACACACCATGCCAGATTGTATATTCTTGCCATACTTTTACCAGAGCCTCTTCCCCCAAGTTCCTGCTTTTCTGAATCTATGGGGTATACGTTTATGGAATCTCCAAAGGTCGCCCCATTTAGCCTTTCTAGCTAAACTATACCCTCCATCATTTGTATGAGACTTGGCTATATTATTCTCCGTTCAAATTCTCCTTCGGTTGTTCAGAGATCTGTGATGACATGTTGAGCTGCTTTTATGTTTGGCCTAAGGATTCTGCTCCAATAATAGGTCCTATCCTCAACTCTTCCAAATCTTTCAAATGCTTCCTCTTCTGTCTCAAATCTTTGTCTTGGAGTTTTACCCTTCTTTACTACAAGGTAAGAAAATTTCTCATTGGCAAATGCTCTCTCTTTAGGATGCTTCGGGAAAATATTCTTGGGATACTTTTGGACTAACTGGGAGAAATGACACCAATTTTCTGGCAATTCTGCTAATGGACACTTGTTATGATGAGGGCAAGGGGCTACAAGATTGACTTCATCTCTTGACATTTCAATAATCTTATTTCTAAAATCATTGATAAATCTGTATCCCTTTGGAGTTCCATAATCGACAAGGACAAAATAACCATCTTGCTTTACTCTTGTAAGTAGAGTATCTAGGATGACCTCTCTTCCTTTTGCAGAAGCGATTTCTGGAAGCACATATCCACAAATTACCAAATCAAACTGTCCTCTTTGTGAACCAGCGCCAGGGACCATGCTCAAAGAGTCGGTCCAGAGTACTTCTGACTCAAGATCTCTCGACATGAACCTCCCCAATTCTCTCATATTCGGATTGGGCTCAACAGCTGCTACTCTTTCAAGCTTTTTGCCCAACATATGAACACCTGCCCAAGTTGCAGAGCCTAATCCAGCTCCAAAATCAAGTAAAGTCTTAGGTTTGAACTGAGGATCTCTCTCTTTCAATTCATGAATGATTCTCTTATACACATAATAATTATTTGCAAATTTTCTTTGAAGGAAACCTATTGTCAAAGGTCTATCATAATCAATGATTTTCAGCTGTCTCTCTTCATATTTCTCCCTGTCTGCTTTTGACATCTTGACATTGGAGAGGTTCTCCATATAAATTTCCTTGACTTCTTGTGCTTCTTTAGCTATATCGGAGAATTCTTTATCCCTCTCTTCCTTATCAGCAGCTACTCTGAAGGAAACCTCTGGGACATTTCTGACCAAATCATTTGTATTCGAGAATGGCCTTGCATAGTCCAAGTTTAGCGGCTTCTCAGTGGAAACTAGCATATTATAGTGGTCCATGAGTCTGTTTCCCCAAGTTTTCACTTCGTACCTGGAGTGCTTTGAGAATATTTTATTGACTACTTGAAGTAAGTCTTCTGGCAAGGTTTCCATATCTACAAATTTCACCCAAAAATTTACCGATGTTGTACTTTCACATTCCATCGAGTTCAAGATCAGCATCAGGCCTCTTCTTTCTCTCAAAGAATTCTCCGGTTGTATCATGTACAAGAGGAGTTGATCTGTAGATTAGAGAATGGAGTTACTGATATAGAGCAGAGTCAAGGAAATCATCAACATTATCTTCCTCAACTAAACTTTCTCTAAAGGTTTGTTCCATTTTTCTTTCCTTCTTATCTTTTATTGAAACTGTCTTAAGCTTATTCACTCTTCTAACAGCTCTTGCAAACGGCCTTATTGAGATACTCATAAGACTCTTATTCTAAATTATCAAATAATAGAGTTATAGCATAAAAAACACTGAAAAATATGCTAAAATTTCTCCAAATCGACCAAATCTTACATAAACCCAACAAATCTTAACTTTCTAACAAAATCAGCACCAAAACCCCCTTCTCCAGCCCCAAAAATCCCATATCCCAAGCCCCAATCTCCCCTTCACCCCCAACACCCTAGTACTTACCCTTCCAAGCATAAACATATTATATTAAACTCAGCCATAAATTTCTAAAAAGGGGTTTTGGGGTTTTGGGGTTTTGGGG